TGGTGGTTTTGGGTTTGGTTTTTTTATTAGTTAAACAGATTTTTACATCAGTCAAAAACATCACAAACTTCAAGGTCTGTACATGAGTGCCTGCCTTGAAAATTTAATTACACTCTGTGCAAGTATGGGGATCATGGTCTTTCTTAAAAGAAAATCTAAAGCCCACTTCCCCAACAATTTGCAGGAAATTATATCTTATTTGGAGGACCTGTGCACATTAACATAAGTTGGACAAGATCAGACAGTTCAACTTCCTTGATCCTCTGCAAAGTTACAACATTAGGGCACACAGGCCCACTACAAAACTTTGAATATTCAAACAGTTTTGGTTAGGTCTTGATTTGCCATGACTCTGTTCTAGCATTTTTATGTAAAATCGAGACTAACTGTTTTCAGATGACAGATGCTCATGTATAGGTAGATGTGAATATTGTATGCATAAAACATATTCATGCATATGTCCTATAACCAGCATTGCATGCCTTAATACAACTGAAATACACAATTACAACAGAAAGGCTTACATCAGTGCAGAAACTGAATTGGTCCCAGGAAAGAACACTGCATCACGAAGACCAAGTAGCTCTTACAAGCACTGGATAAAATTCACTCATGTGAGTGAACTAATACAACACAAAGCAACTCTAAAATTTTACATGTAGAGTGCAACCAAAGGGGAAAACTATATAGTGTTTTCGAAGCCTCTGTTCCTGTTGTCTTCAAAATATACCCTGCTCTTTATTTCTACTTTAATGATGTCACATTTCTGCTGCCCTCTCCTGTTTGTACTGGCAGGGCCTAGTTCATATTTGAAAGCCCATGCTCTCCTTTTAGCATCAAAAAAATAAAAAAGGAGGAGCAGCTGGCCACTTATTGTCAATTACTGCCAATGCCCAGTGAGGCTAATCATCAGGTTTGATTTTGCTCTGCTAATCATCATCAGCTACTGATTTTTCTTGGTGGTTTTGGGAATTCAAAGCATGAACATGCTTTGTCATTTGTGTCACTTGACACATTATTTGTCTTCCTTCCACCTTTTACATATAATATTTATAGAGACAGCCTTCAAAAACAGTCATTCTCCCTGGCAACTACAACAGTCAATTCTCCCAGCCAAGTAGTTAATTGGGACTTTGTACTGCTGAGTTCAGTGAGACGCTGTCTATTGCTTCACAGTTAAGTGGTGGTGGTGTTGGGGAAAAAAAAAAAATAAAAAATTTAAAAAAATTAATAATAATTAAAAAATTAATAATCTGAGAAAAAAATTAGAAAAATAAATCTAGATTTTCACACTAATGTTTTAACATAAACATAATTCTGTTGGCATGTTTTATTCAAGGCTAAATAGTCTGCACCTTAATAACAATTGCTGATATTACCTTATCCTCTAATAAATTAGAAGATACATTTAGTACTGTCTACTGATTGTAACATCTGGCAGATCAACCTGCAAGGTATCAAGATCTGGAAAATTACTCAATTTAAAGGCACATTAACCAGTACACATGCCAAATTGTTCCACAATATGAACATAAATCAGACAATCTTAGCTGCATTCACGGCATTCAGATACAACAGGATGAGTCATCCTTTCCATCCGTTTTCCCCATGGATTCAGTTTACTTCCTATTAAAGACACTTTAGTACGGAGTGAAATTTTGGTTTTAAAATGAAACAAAAAAAGCAATTAGCAATTTGGAGTAGAATGAAAATTCATCACTCCCAGATTTAAAAATATTTCTAAAAGATTAAAAATACATCTTTTTCAAGCTTCTAGTCCACACTGTATATTAGAGTTCAACAGGAACTGGGTGAGATCTTCATTACTATGTGAAAAGGTATTTGGAAGCTCTCTAAATTATCTTTGGCAGCAGCAATACAGACTTGTGTGAAGAAACTGAGTTTTCATAACATGTATTTATACTTTGCAGATAGAAATCCTAACTTGACTGGCTTTCACACAAGTTACAACCAATGATGATTTATAGTCGCTAGCAGTACAAAATGGTATCAGTGTACCATCATTTCCTCTTCTCTAAGGAGAATAGGCATTTCCTGTCCACACAAAAGGTTAAATAGCCCTAAATGGTGACACAAATACTCGCCCTGTCAGATACAGTCCTGACCTCCTCAGAAACTTTGAGTTCTCAGGAATAGACATACGTACTCTCCTTGATATTTCTACCCCAGTTAATTACTATCAGACATCACCAAAAAAAACCCCAATACACACAACACAACCACAAACCCCATATAATATGGCTAATACACATGGAAAGAAATGAAGAGAATAAAACAGCAGGA